ACAACAACAATAGGTATATATTTTATGGAGTCCTGGTGTGGCGCTGTGGATTAATGCGCCAGACTGCAAAGCTGTTTGAATGGCAAGGTCGGCAGTTCAAGCTCACCAGCTGCTCCTCAGAAACCTTATACAGGGTCGCTTTGGGTTGGAACTGACTCAACAGCATTTAACAACAATAACCTTTCATTAGAAGGAGGTCTAGTAGTGTAGTAGTTACGAGTCATACTGCTAACAACAGTTAGCAGTCAGTAGTTCGAAACCACCAATGGTTCCGCAAAAGAAAGATGAGACTTTCTGTTACTGTAAAGATTCACAGCCTCAGAAACCCTATACAGGGTTGCTATGAGTTGGACCCGACTCCACGGCACATAACTACTACCACCACCACCTTTCATTAGAAGTCTTGGTGTGGTGCTGTAGGATAAGCACTGGACTGTTAAACTCAAGATCTGTAGTTCAAACCCACTAGTCACTCCTCAGAAACACTCTACAGGGTCACCACGAGTCAGAACTGACTCAACAGCACTACACAACAACCTTTCATTAAGCTCTAGTGAAGTGGGCTATTGCTGTAGATACTAGATTTCTGCCACATGCCTTGCTTACAATTCTTTACCTTGACTAAACCTACCAGCGAAGACTGTACCATGTTTCCACAGTCACCTCCACATTCCCTTCCTTTCCTGCTTATCCAGCTTGGATTTTAGGATTCACCATTAGAACCATCCATACACATACACCCTCAACTTCTTGGCCCAACCCACTTCATTATATATGCCTGGCAAACCCCAATTCTGGTTAAATCTTTGCCTGCCTTGCATATGTATCCACAAATCTCACTTTGGCTAGAGAAAAACACACAACCTTGTTAACTGGTCTCACTTTAAATTCATGACCACCAGCCTCAAGTAGGCTTTGGGGCTATTGAATAGTCATTCTACAGTTCTCCGGTTTATTCAGTGTTGCTGTCCTAAAAGACTATTTCTTACCTCTTCTCATTCTCTACCTTCCCAATGTCTTTCTCCTTCCTCATCCTCATTCTGAACTGATGACTTTACTTTCTATTCCACTGAGAAAAGAGAAGCAACCCGCGGAGACCTATCATGTCTCCACCACTGTATCAAGCTCGCTGCATCTGTGAACATACACTCCCCTTCTCTCCTATTTCTATGTATGGACTGTCTATTCCTATTGAATATAGAAGGAATTCAAGCATCAAGAATTCTTCCATCCATCCATCCATCCATCCATCTATCCATTCATCCATCCATCCATCCATCCATCCATCCATCCATCCATCCATCCAACAAAAGTTTATTTCTTGACTTCTATTCTTAATACAGAAATAGCTACAATCATACATTGACAGAGAACTTCCAGAGGTTCAAGCTGGATTCAGAAGAGGACGTGAAATGCGGGATATCATTGCTGATGTCCGATGGATCTTGGCTGAAAGTAGAGACTACCAGAAAGATGTTTACCTGTGTTTTATTGACTACACAAAGGCCTTCAATTATGTGGATCATGACAAGCTATGGACAACATTGTGAAGTATGAGTATTCCAGAACACTTAATTGTGCTCCTGAGGAATCTATACCTGGACCAAGAGGCAGTTATTCAAACAGAACATGGGAACACTGAATGGTTTAAAATTAAGAAAGGTGTGTGACAGGGTTGTATTCTTTCATACTTATTCAACCTGCATGCTGAGTAAATAATCTTAGAAGCTGGGTTATATGAAGAAAAATGTGGCCTCAGGATTGGAGGAACACTCGTAACAACCTGCGATATGCAGATGATACAACCTTGCTTGCTGAAAGTGAAGAGAATTTAAAATGTTTACTGATGAAGATCAAAGAGCACAGCCTTCAGTATGGATTGCATCTCAATGTAAAGAAAACAAAAATACTCACCACTGGACCAATAAGCAACATTCTTATCAATAGAGAAACAATAGTAATTGTTAAGAACTTCATTCTTCTTTGATCAACCATCAACACTCATGGAAGCAGCAGTCAAGAAATCAAACAACATATCGCATTAGGCAAATCTGCTGCACAAGACCTTTTTAAAGTGTTGAAGAACAGACATGTCAGCTGGAGGACTAAGGCATGCCTGACCCAAGCCATGATATTTTCAATAACCTCATATGCATGTGAAAGCTGGACAGCGAATAAGGAAGACCATAGAAGACTTGACGCTTAAGAGTTATGATATTGGAGGAGAATATTGAAAGTACCATGGACCGCCAAAAGAACAAACAGATCTGTGTTGGAAGAAGGGCAGCCAGAGTGCTTCTTGGAGGCCAGGATGGCCAAACTTTGTCTCTAATACTTGGGACATATTGTCAGGAGGGACCAGTAGCTGGAGAAGAATATCATGTTTGGTAAGGTGGAGGGTCAGAGAGAAAGAGGAAGACCTCCAGAGAGATGGATTGGCAATATGGCAGCATCAATGGGCTCCAGCGTGGCAACAATTGTGATGTTGGCCCAGGACTGGGCAGTGTTTCATTCTGTTGTGCATAGGGTTGCTCTGAGTTGGTACTGACTCAATGGCACCTAACAACAAGACTCTCAAGTCACTGGGTTAGGTACTGGCCTCACATATAGATATGGTTTTCCAATCAAGGACTTTACTTCAGGGGAAAAGAAAAAAACATGTATTTTCATGATCAGAACACAAAACGTTAAGTGATGTAGCCAAGGGAAACAGGCATTTCTATGAGAGTCCGGAAGATCATGGTATCTAGTTCTGATGGATGGGTGGTAGGCACTGGGACATATGGAGTGAAGACTGAATCTGACTTCTAATAGTGCTTTGGCATCTCATAATCTATATGATTAAGCAGGTTTATTGTGCATTGAAAATGTCCCCCAAAATACATATATTGAAGCCCTAGTCCCTATAACTAATTATGATCCTATTTGGAAATAGAAGTTTCCTTTCATTATGTTAATGAGTCATACCAGAGTAGCATGACTCCTAAATCTAATCATTTTTGAGTGGTATCTTCTAAAAAGAGCAGAGTGGACACAGAGACACACATGGGGCTGTCAGAGCCAGAGGAGAGACACAAACACCAAAGAACATTAAAGACCATCAAGAACTCTGGGGCTCCTGACAAGGAAGGCTCTTCCTGTAGGTCAGTGCCCTGACTTTGGACTTTGAGCCTCCAGAACTGTTAGAAAACAGATTTCTGTTCTCCATTTACCAGTGGATAAGTTTATTGTGGCTGCTATAACAAAGTATCACAAATTGGGTAGATTCTAAGAACAGAAATTCATTCTCTCACAGTTCTGGAGGCTAGAAGACCAAAATCAAGGGATCATCAGGGCCATGCTCCTTCGAAAGTCTCTAGGAAAAGGTCCTTTTTTGCCTCTCCCTAACTTCTTGTGGTGCTGTAGAGTTAGCACTGGACTGCAAACCACAGGGTCAGTAGTTCAAGCCCACCAACTGCTCCTTTGAAACTGTACCTGGTTGCTGTGAGTCAGAACTGACTCATCGACACTTAACAACAACAACAACTTGTGGTGGGGGCTGACATTCCGTGGGGTTCCTCTGCAGGCTCTGTCTCCATCTTCACTTGGCCATCTTCCTTCTATGTGTAGACATCCTCCTCTATGTCTGAGACTCTTCTCCTTTCCTTTAAAGGATACCAGCCACTGGATTTAGGGCCCCCTCTAGTACTGGTGTGGTGCTGTGAGTTAATGTGCTGGACTGCAAAGTTGGTTTGAACTACAAGGTCGGCAGTTCAAGCTCACCAGCCTCTCCTCGGAAACCCTATACAAGGTCATTTTGAGTCGGAACTGACTCAATGGCACTTAACCACAACAACTAATTCTGTATATCATCATCTTAACTAGTTACATCTTCAAAAACTTATTTCCAGTAAGTTACCTTCTGAGGTTCTGGGTGGACATAAATTTGGAGGTTGGTACACTATTCAACAGTGAATGAGACAAAGCTCAGTGAGCGTTAGTGGCTTATAAATAGTCCCATTCACTGGAAGTAAGTGTCAGCGCTCAGATGGTAGCCAAGGTCCAGCATTGTCTATTGTGACCCATAAGCTTTTCATTGGGCGTAGGCTGCCCCTGGTCTTTCTTCCTAGTCTTAGTCATGAAACTCTGCTAAAACGTTGATCATGAGCATCATGTAGGACATTTAATTCTATTATACATGAGCATCATGTAGGACATTTAATTCTATTATACATGAGCATCATGTAGGACATTTAATTCTATTATACATAAGCATCATGTAGGACATTTTATTCTATTATACATGAGCATCATGT